AGAGAAAGACACAAGTTTGGGAACATGTGAAGGAATGTTCTGAGGTGTGTTTATGGGATGGGAGATTTGGTGAGGGGCAAGTTGAGGGAATCCAAGTCAGGTGGAAGTGAGGTAGTCTTCTGAGAATGAAGGAGTGGTTAGAAGGCATGAAGAGGGTGTTGAGGCTTAGAAGAGTATTTTGCAAAGTGAGGCTATTATGCTATGGATGTTACTTGGGGGTGATTTTCATGGCCGTGTAGACAAGAGTTGTTTTCAAAAATTTTAAGTTATGAATTTATTTCAATGCATTTTTTTCATTTTAATAGTTTTGTATTTAGTACATATTGGGAAAAAATAACATCTCCAACTTAATATTTTATGAATATTATTTACGAAAGTGATATTTTTTTAAAAAACTGAGTTACTTTAGGGCCGGGGTTGTAGCTCAGTGGCAGAGCACTTGCCTTGCATGTATGAGGCTCTGGGTTTGATCCTCAGCACCACATAAAAATAAATCAAATAAAGGCATGCTGTCCATGTACAACTACAAAAAAATATTTTTAAAAACTGAGTTAATGTAAAGAAATATATTCAGTAAATATTAACTCAGTTGCTACTTAGCTGTGGCAAAAATCATGAAGATGGTACCCAAGCACCTAAACTTTGGAAAAATTTGATTTAAATAAGATATCCAACAGGATGACTGGGGGAAGAGGAGCACTTTGGGTGTAAGGTCTGGTGAATGGTATTTGAACCCCAGCTGTCTTATAGCTCAGACCTTCCTGTTCATGGAGAAACCTCTATGCTTCCTAAGGATGTTGACGGTGGTAACTACTGAAAAAAAAAACTGGATTTGACAAAATCAAGAAAAAGTATGGCTTTTGGCCAGAATTAAGAAGAGAAAAATAAACTGAAGAGTGAGAGGCATATAAAGGGTCCTGACTTACTATAGTTTGACTTAGATTGTTTGACTTTATGATGGTGAGAAGATAATGAGCATCCATATTTTGAATTTTGATCTTTTCCCAAGCTAGCAATATATGTACAGTGCTCTCTCACAGTCAGCCACTATGGTAGACTGGGTTGTGAAGCTATGATGTTGGTAGGTGTAGTTAATGCATTTTCAACCTAAGATAGTGTTCATCTTATAATGGTATCATGGCTTAAACCTCATGGTTGATACTTTCCTTTTTCCTCCCCTCCCATCCCCTTTCCTTTCCTCTTTTTGAGATGAAGTCTTACTATGCTGTCCAGGCTGGTCTTGAACTCTTGGGCTCAGGTGGTCCTCCTGCCTCAGCCTCCTGAGTAGCATGTGCCACTATAGTTCATTTTTTAATTCAGCATCTTCGACTTCTCTTATTGGACTTACTGCAATATGCGGAAGTAGGGGGGAAAGACATAAATAATCACGATCATGTCAGCACAGTCATTAAGGTGTGAGCTCTGCTATAGAAACAGGTGGGAGCTGGAGAAGACATTTCTGAGGTGACATTTCACTAGGTGGGCAGTGTCTGTCAGAAGCCTGAGAGAAGTGATCTGATCAAAGCTCAGACACAGAAAGGCAAACTGAGTAAAATGGGTGTTAGGTAATTAAAAATGGCTCTCCTAGCTCTGGGGAACCCTCAGCATTCTGTCTCAATGCTGAAATGTTCTTTTAGTCATCAGAGTCTGGCATTTTAACACACTTAAAAATAGCCCTTTTGCACTATGATACACTTCCTGGGAGGTTTAAGGCAGGAAGCTTTTATGATTGCTTATGTGTGTTTGGCACCTAACCGAGACTTAGGAATGGGTCTCAGAATAGAGAACAGGGCTTTTCATCAGGTTGGCCAAGTATCCAGAACCTGAGGTTGCCTGTGGAGGACTGGAGGAAAATGTCCCAGGTAACCAGAGGCCACTGATTATTTGGGGGCAGGGATGAGCAGGTTCCCAGAAGGGCTGGCTCAATAAAGACCATTGGCACAGTCATTCTTTAAACATTTGGAATGTACACTACTGCCAGAGGCAGTGTTGGGTGTTTGAAATGTTGACTGAACAATGTAGATGTGGTCCCAATCCTCATGGAACTGTTGTGAAAGAGGCTTATGTGAATTAGTAAGCCATGGCTGTTCATTGTGGCTTTTCCAAAGCCATTGGAAATGCCAGAATGAAAAGAGGTAAGAATTTAGAGACAGTACTGGCTTTTGTTCACTGAGAAAACCTCTTCTGTATTCACTATGTTGCTTCTTTAGGCATTTCACTGAGCCAGCCAGTTAGACTGTGGTGTGCTCTTACATTTGGAAAAAAAAGCTTCCAAATTGCTACTTTCCTAGAAACATCCCAGTTTGCCACTAATCCTAGGCATGCCTGTGGGAATGCTAGAATGCCTTGGTGGCAATATCCACTAGCTTTTTCTTAAATGTTAGCAAATATATACTAATTTGTTTAATCCTTTTAAATACTCTGGATAATGGGCTGAAGGAATAACTACATAGGCATGGAAAGCATTGTAATTAAGGGAAAGAGTAAAGAACTTCAAAGTTCATCTTCTTTGGGTTCTTGGTGTGTGAAGATTGTATCTAGTAAATGTTGATGTGTCCTGGTGGCAGGGTGTGGGTGGGGCAGTCAGTAGCTATCTTTTAAGGTGGTGCATGAATTTCCTTAATATTGTATGGAAACATTTGCTAAATATGGCTTCATAATTCTCATCTTGAAAGTGCTTCTATGAAGGTGAAAAGAGTAGTAGCATCAATGAGAATATTCATGTACAGTTTTGCATAGTTACTGTAGGACATGAGACAGTGCAGAACACCTTCCTGGGTGTGGGAATCACGAAGTCTGGTCTCCAGCCCTAGTTTCTTGTCACCAACTACATGACCTTGTACAAGACTCGACCTCATCTCAGCCTCAGTTTATTTAACTTTGAAATGGGAGGAAACCATAGTTCATAAAGTTTTGTATTAAAAAGTCAGATCTATGTGCAAATGCTGTAGAAACAAGGTGTTACCTAAAAACAAGAGGCTTTAGAACATGTGTGCTCTCCATACCTGTACTTGGTGTATATTCTTGGCCACTAGAGGGAGCTTTAGGACTCAGGGGAAAGAGAAGTCAAAGATGTCTATTCTTGAAAGCTTGAGGCCTCAATGAAAGAAGGTGATGGTCATCATTATACAAAATACATGTATGAAGATGTGAATTTGGTGTCAACATACCTTATATACAAATAGAGATATGACAAATCGTGGTATAAAGGTGTATTAAGAATTGTAATGCAAAAAAAAAAGAGCGCTCATGGCATAATTTGGCATGAACCTACTTTATATACAGAGTTACGAAAAACTGTGCTGTGAATGGATAATTATGAATGTAATGGATTCCACTATTGTCATGTATGTAAGAAATAAATAAAAAAGAATTACTTCTTTAAAAAATTGCATTTTATAAATACCCATTTAGAATTTTTAAAATTTATATAAACGTATAAAAAAAGAAAATATGATCACAGTTCCTTGTGGCAGATTTTTCCACTAATTAACCCACAGGATTCCTCTTTATCATTTTCTCTATGGTAAATTTAGTTCATAGGAAATCTTAATGTTTATGTTAAATCAATTTTAATGTGGGGGGTGGAGTGCAGGGGGAGGACAAAACTCAACTATCCATAAGGGCTTTCTAGGAAGAAACTACTTTTCCTGTAACAAAAACAATTCATTATAAAATCTGACCCATGGCAATGTTGTTTGAAGATTTTTGTACCCAGGCAGGGTGGAGAAGAACATTATCTAATGTTGGCTTTAGGTTTCCTAATGGTGCAGTCTGAAGTTCTTAACTGGTGTGCTTTTCTCATGCTAGGGTTAGAGTGAAAGGAATTGTGACTTAATACCAGGGACGCCAGAATGGTCCCAAGGAGGTGGTGTAACAGGGTGAAATGTTCTTAATTTGTATGTCAGGCAATCAGAATGTTATGGATTCATTGTGTATTTTGAGAACAGTATTGGTAGCACTTGGGTTTTGGTTTCTCTCTCTGATTCTGAACAACATCCTGTTTCACATACAAACCCATGGTCTTGTTGGGCTTTCTTCATTAAGTGTGGAACATTCGGTGCTTAGACTCAGGACCTACATCATGAAAGGCAAAATTCTGTAGGCTCACAAATTCTTACATTTATCCAATTTTTGACCCAAGTTTATTAGGAAAAATTGGAGCCTTGATGTTTCTCTTCCATATAGCTTTTAGGGTTGTGTTTCAGTCCTGTAGTCAAAGAAATGTCTGCAGAAAACAGTGAACATCATTTTTTTTTTAACACGCATTTGCAGGAAGCCATGTAAAAACTAAATTGCTAATATACATTAGCAAACTGGCCAGTGAAATTGTCAAAGCATTAATCTACCAAGTTTTTCTGATTTTAAGATATACTCCCACAAACCTTGCCCTCACTTTATTTAACTTTTTGGAAAATAGGGATATATATCTGCATTGCATTTAAAGAAGCATTGCCCACCCCTCCTGAAAACCTGTTGTGAAATCCATGTCATTTCCTGCAATCAATGGTCTTTTTGAATTGAGAAAGTATTCTAGGAAATACTTTGTTTGGTATATTTCTCAAACCTGGATGCCCCTAAAGTTCCCCTTCGTGGCTAAATTCAGGCTTGAGCTTCCACTGCAGCTTTTGGTATCTCCAACATCACCACAGCAGGAAGGGATTTCTCTCTGTTGACAGAAAGGCAGGAGTTTTCAGGTTACAAATGCTGAAGCCCTCCTAGGCTTGTTCATTGCAGTTTATGAGAAACAGCTGCTTTTCCTTGCCCAGACTTGGGTCTAAGGCTCTCCTCTCCATTCCCCCAAAGTCTAGTAACTAACTGAGACTAATCAGCTGATTTGGGTCACAACAGCAGAAGGCTCTGCCAGCCCATGTTAAACATGGCTGTACCATGTTAGCAACAGGACAAACAGGACACTGATTAAGACAAACACCTTAATCAGTGATTCCATGAATGATTACAATCTGAGTAATTTTCTCTTCTTTTTTTTTTCCCCCCAGAAACTGCTGCTGCTTCTTAAAGGCTTTCAGGTGGTGAAGGTTTGAAGGTGGGCAACAGAGTCACTGTTGCTTAGTTTTGAACTTCTCAAATTTGAATACGCACAGGGATCACTGGGGATCTAGTTAAAATGCAGATTCTGATTCAGTAGGTCTGGGAGTGAGGTTGGAGATGGAGGAGCTGAGATTCTGCATTGCTGAGGCTCTCCCAGATGATGCCCGTTGCAGCTGGTCTTTAGACTACACCGAGTGGCAGGCCCTACGTAATGTATCTCTATTTCCCATTTCAGGCTGATGCATAATGTTAGTTGGATGAAGAATTCCTTTTCTAATCTGATCCTCTAACACTCTTCAGAAATGAAGAATGAATAAGTAATGATTTCAAAGCCCATAGAAAATCATGAGGTCACAGATTGTGTCTTTTGAATTAATAATTAATTGGTAAGCCGTGTCTTTGAATTCTAAGTTATTGCAAATGAATTCTAATGTATTGCAAATCAAAATATTGAGACTAGATCTCTAGAGCACAGACATACAGAGAACAGAATTAAACAGATCTGGTTTTTCTCATGAAATTGCCAAGCAACTGTTTATTCGTGGTTATTTATTGTTGGCAAGCATTATGCTCTGTATTACATTTAAGCAGGAACATTATGGGGACTGCATGAGAGTCTGTGTGCCAATTTTCTTTTCTTCTTCTTTCTCTCCTCCCACCCTGCCTTTTTTTTTTTTTTCCAGTGCTGGTTATTGAACCTAAGGCCTCATGCATACAAGGCAAGCTCTCTACCATCGAACTTCACACCCCATCCCCCATATTTTGGCTCCAAATTTATTTAATCTTTCTTCTCACCTCCAGGAACCCAATCCAATTGCTTTTGCAAAAGAGTGAATCTTCTTTAAGTGTGGAGAAATTTCAGGTTTTTATCAAATATTTTTTGGACAGCTGCCTGGAATTTCTGTACTGTTTTTAGACCATTGATTTGGCTTATTTTCTGTAGCTTTGGATCCGTCATTATGTCCACAGTTTGTTTTCTTGGTTAAACTTTAAGTTCATTGTAGTTGAAGGTTACATGTTCTCCTTTACAGGACTGAAAAATTGAAAGTGAACTTTAAACTCAATGAGTCACATTTCCTCTTTAGTATTTGTGTTTCTGTAAGTTGCCTTTGCTTGACATACATTTGGTGATTTGGATTTTGTACTTATATATTTTCTCATAGAACAGCTTTGAGTGTTAGAATGTCTTTCCTAATACTGAGTTGGAGTTGTCTCTCTGGTGTTGTGTCCACTAGCCCAGTTTTATTCATGAGAGGCAATTCCCTTGTCTCAAATAGACTGTAGACAATACACACTGTTGGGTAAATGACTTATTCAAGCCCAGGACATGGGGTTCTCTGTGTTGTGGCATTGCCTCCTGCAGCAGAGTAAGCCTTTAACTCCTGACTTGAAGAATAAACTTGGTGCCAGGTTCAAAGCTGCATTGCCAGAAATTCTATGAGCCAAGATGAAGTAGGGCAGTCGCTGCTCATAAAGACTACCCTGCTTGATTACAGGGGTTTACGATTTCCTGCATTTCTTTCTTACTTAATCCTTAAGCGAAATGCAGGATAAGGATTCGTGATTACTCATGAATTTTTCACACAACCAGATTATTCAATAGCAATTTTAGTAATAGCTCCAATTTCTAAAATATTTCTTTTCTTTCTTTAGTTCTTAACTAATGCAAAAAACTGGCCAAGTTGGACTTTATTCCTCCTTTTTCTATCCCCCATTTAAATCTCTCTACCCTTCCTGTGCTAAGCCATAGGTGATCTTACCCTTCAGGCTACCCTGTGCAGTATATCTCTATGCCTCAGGCCATACATTGCCTCTTCCCTCATTCAAGTTTGGATAATAGAGTTCTCTCAGCAGCTGGTTTTATCCAATGTGACCATGGCTGCTAATAGGTTCTGGTCTCCTTAGTAAATCTTTCATAATGTATAGATAGCCCTTGTTTTATCTGCCTGCCTCTGCACCATTATTTTAAAATTCTGTTAAATACGTGTTTCCAGGTGGCCCTTAGGTAATGGTTTTATAGTGAGGGGTGGGAGAGGATAGGCATCATGATAAGATCATGGATAAGAAAACTGCTTTGGTCTGTGGGTCCCTTAACACAACTTCACATCACACATCTCCCTCATTATATAATACTAGTACTGTTCTCTGTTAATAACAATAATAATCAGTCTTATTACATGTGATTATTATATCTATGTACTATGTTCCAGTTACCATACCTAGGGCTTAACAGATTTCTAATTCAACATAACAATCCTGTGATGTAGGAAGAATTCTTCTTATTTTACAGATGAGCAAACTGAAGTTCAGAGAGGTTGGATAATTGGTTTAGCATCACATAACTACTTCGTTGGAAAGACAGGGTTCAAAGTGAGGTAAGTGGGTATAACTGAAGCCTACATAGCCTTCTTATCTCCCATCAACCAGCAGAGTAGACATCTAGGATCAGGGAGACTCCCCAGATGGGCATTGCTGTGTCCACCTTGCACACAGCCTCCCTACTTCCTCTAAGTATAAAACCCGACCACCTGGCTGGTCTCTTTCCTCTCAGCTCTCCAATTCCCCACTTTTCTATGCCGAGAAAAGCTGCTTCTGGCTTCTGCATGCACAAGAATAACAAGTATCTGTTATTTAATTATAAGGATTTATTATGGAATGGGAGGAGGCATACTAACAAATCCCATCTGGGGCTAATTAAAAAGAACTGTGTTCCTGAGTATATGTGGTTTTTCTTTTTTTCAAGAGGGGAACAGATCCAGCAACATTTTGGCTCATGAACATGGCACGGTTTAATAGGAGCCAGGTGACTGAGACATCTCTGTGCTATTTCTGAGAAAGCAAGCTGGTCCATCACCTTTAATGCAGGAGAAATGAAGTTTCCTTCTAGCATTAGCCCTGGTGCGTGGATTTGTACCTGTGCCTAGATTTGTCACACTTTTTTTAAAATGGACATTCCCAATGAAAATATCCTTTTGGAACAGAGGGAATAAAAAGACACCCAAATTACTGCTTTGGGAATAAATGCATCAGTTTGCAATAAATTTACAGGGTTTCCAAGAGTGGCCACCCACAGAGGAAGCAACATCTTGTCCCGCTGTCACAACGGGAGAGCACAGTGCTTGAGCACCAGGCAAACAGAATGTTCCTTATGCCTAGAGGGAAGGTACAGAGTTAGACTGGACTCACTAGCGATAGATCTCCTCAGGCCTAGGAATATGTGAGCTGGTTTTATGCAGGGCCCTAGGTGTACTTGTTCTTGTTCTGTGACACTTTAGCAATTTTGAAACAGGCACATTATCAGAAAAATATGAATCTCTACAGAGATTTGTTGCATATTTTCAGATCACAAGTAGAATAAATTAGTATGTTTTAAGACTAATAAAGAAACTCTATTCTTGGAAATACATTTAGTTGTTCTCTATTATCCATGAAAGATAATATTTATCAATTTATTCACTCATGCATTCATTTATTCATCAAAGGTTAACCATGTGAGCTGGGTGCAGACACATGTAATCCCAGCAATTTGGGAGGCTGAGGCAGGAGGATTACAAGTTGGAGGTCAACCTGGGCAACAGGAGGCCCTGTCTCAAAATAAAAAAAATAAAAAAGTCTGGGGAAGTGGCTCAGTGATAGTGTCTCTGGGTTCAATCCTCGGTACCAAAAAGAAAAAAAAAGTGTGACACAGGCCCCCCATGTATCAGGATTTGTGATACATGTTTGGGACTCAGATACTGTGGTTTAGATATGAGGTGTCCACCAAAAGCTCACGTGTAAGACAATACAAGAAAGTCTAGAGGTAAACAGTAAGTTATGAGAGGCGTAATCTAATCTGTGTATTAATCCAGTAATGAAGATTGGGTGGTAAATGTAAGTGGGTGGGGAGTGGATGCAGGGGGGGGGTCGGGGGGGGGGGGGGGGGGGGGGTGGGGGTGTGTTTGAGTTTTTTTATTTTGCCCTAGTGAGCAGAGCATGCACACCCCACCACCCCTTTCCTGTTAGCCAGGTTCTGAACTGCTTTCCTCCTCCATGCCCTTCCACCATGACACTCTATGGTGGAAGAGCAACGGAGCTGGCCATCTAAGAACTGAGACCTCTGAAACTGTAAGCCAAAATAAACACTTCCTCCTCTTCATTGTTTTTGTCAGGTCTTTTGGTCATGGCAGCACAAAGCTGACTGAAACAACAGAGAAGAACAAGAGACAGACAGAATCCACCCTCAGATATAGCTCAAAGACAAGGAGAGATTCATAGAATTAAGTAATTGTGGCATAGTGCACTTCTAGGAGCCACGAGAAGCAACACCTAACCAGCCTGCAGGCATCCGGGAAAGCCTCCTGGGGGAGGTGTCCTTTGAGCTGGGCTCTGCAGCAGAATCAGGAGTTAGTCTCCAGAAATTTGTATTTACATAATATCCCTCTGCTTTGTAACAAGAGAAGAGACTAAACAACTAAGTGGATATTATGTGTGGGGATGGAGACATTGGGGTGGTAAGTAAAGAATGAGAACCTAAATATTTAAACTGGAATATTCAAGAGAGAGTACAGGCCAGTGCAGGCTCTGGCTTCAGTTGACAGAGGTTGGATCTCTGCCACTTCCTAGGTGTATGAACCTGAGTAAGTTGCTTAGCATTTGTCAGATCCAGAACCTCACAGGGTCTTTAGGCTTCAATGAAAGAATATGTGCAAAGATCTTTGCTTAGGCCCTGGCTTATTTAAATGTTAATAAATGTCAGCTCTTATCATAATGCTGTTATTATTATCATATCATTTATGATTAACCTTCTAAGCTCCCTGAGTTTTCTCTCCCTGAAGAAGATAAATAGAGAAATAAGGACAAAATAAAACTAAGTGTGTGTGTGTGTGTGTGTGTGTGTGTGTGTGTAATGGTGATTATCATCTTAATTAGAGTAGGCAGACTAAAGAATATCTTCCCAAGAACAAGAACATAGTGCCCTTATCTGCTTCCTACTTCCTATCCAAATCCTGCTTTC